CCAAGGGCCGACGGCAGAGGCAGGCAGGATCTGCCGCCACCAACAGCGTCAAGGAGAAGACGGCGGCGGCCGCGGCGGCGCCAGTCGCCGAGCCGAACGCGCCAGGAAAGCCCACGTACGCCGAGCTCGAGGAAAAGGTGCGCAAGCTCGAGGCGGAGCTGGCGCTGGCCAAGCGGCGCAACGTGCTGCTCGAGGAGCTGGCCGGGCTCGGGCTTGGCGGAGCTGCCGGCATCGCCGCCTCTTCCTCTTCCTCTTCCGCTGCCGCTGCCGCTGCCGTCGTCACGCCCCCCACGCCTTCGCCGGCGCCGCTCGTCGACGACAGGGCAACCCGCGTCGACGAGCAAGCGGGTCGTCTCAGTGCCGACATCGACGCCCTGTCGCTCGGCTCGGACAAGTCGCAGGCGCCTGCCGCTCCCGCCAAGCCCGCCGATACGCCTGCCGCGCCCGCTGCCGCGCCTGCCCCGGCGCCGGCCCCGGCGGACCTCACCTTTGGCCACATCCTCTCTGCGCCCATCCTCACCCTCTTTTTTCCGACGGCGGCCGCGCAGCACGCCGCCATTGCGCGGATCGAGGCCTTCTACGAGTCGTCGTCGTCGTCGCAGACGTACCTGTCGCTCGAAGAGGCCGAGCGCGAGCGCATCTGCCGCAACTACCAGGGCTTCAACTTTCCGGTTGTCGAGGGCGTGGGGCAGTGGCTGGCGGCCATGTGGAACGCCGTCGACGTGGCCGACGACGAGGCGCGGACGCGGTGGTGGGAGCCCGACTGCAGCGAGGCCGAGGTCGAGGTGCTGCGCTTCCTCGTCGACGGCGGCGTGATTGCAGACGACGAGGGGTGGGGCGGCGAGGTGAGCGCCGGGCTCGCCGACCGGCCGATCCGGTACGCCATCTCGACGGTGGCGGCCAAGGCGCACACGACGCTCGCCCACGAGCGCCTGCACGCCCTCTACTTTTTGTGCGCCGAGTACCGCGCGCTCGTGGCGACGCACTGGTCGACGCTCTCGGCGCCCGTCAGGCGGGCCATCGAGTACGACCTGCAGATGCGCGGCTACTCGGAGAGCGTCTTTGCCGACGAGTTCCAGGCGTACCTGGCCGAGGGCGAGGGCACCGAGCGCGAGTTTGGCAACAAGTGCGCCGCAGAGTGCCGCGACGCCTCGCGCGCGCTGCGCCAGCGCGTCGACGCCTTCTGGGCCCAGGTCGGCGGCCAGGGCGGCGTCGAGAGGTGGGAGGACGTCAAGTGGGACGTGCTGGACCGCGCCGAGAAGCGGCAGCGCGACAAGAAGCGCAGCGAAAAGGGCGCGGCGGCGGCAGTGGGGTCGGGTGGCAAAAAGGGCAAGGGCGGCGGTGGGGGCGGCAAGAAGGCCAAAAAGTAGAGCCGCGCCGTGCCGTGCCGCGCGAGTCGTCGTCTGCACGCACTTCGCTCGCCGCCAGTTTACGGCGATTGCATTCCATCCATGACTCTGGCATCCGCCGGCGAACCTTTCCATTACAGCCACGACAAGAGGAAGGAGGGAGGACAAGAGCGAGGTCCACGATGACGTGCGAGCGACTCGACGCGCCCCTCGGGGTCTATCTACATGGGGAGAAAGGCCCAGACGGTGCCGAGGGCGGCGAGTACGGCGCTGAGGGCGAGTACGACGAGGTCGACGACGACGCGCCAGCGCGGCAGCTCGGCGCCAAACAGGGCAAAGTTGGCCAGCAGCGGGCCGAGGATGCACGTGGCAAACGCGAGGAACGCGCCGAGAAAGGCCATGACCTTCTCGAAGCCCGGCAGGACGATGGCCGTCGCCGTGATGAGGAGCGTCAAGAGCGTGCGCAAGAGGGGCTGCAGGATGCGGTTGCGCCGCTGCCGCCGCTGCCGCCGCTGCTGGCGCCGCCTGTGCCGCTCGCCGTCGTCGTCGACGTGCGCCTCGTTGGCGTTGGCGTTGGCGTTGGCGTTGGCGTTGGCCCGGTTGCTGTGGTGGT